CATCAAAGTATTCCTTACTGAAGGAATATTGAAAAGGAGTGGGGGGAATGCCTATGAATACCCACCTTAAAGTACTTCTAATCATGTATTTGGTTCAACTTTTAATTTATAACGTTTCAACATAACTCACATAACGAGTTTCATAATTTAGACGTTCATAATTTTCTCAATCTCCAATATTAGAATGGAGGGGAAAAAACTAATAATAAAGTGGTTTCTGAAAAAAAAAAATAGTTGAAGAAATTAATGGCTTCTGGTTTGAATGAAATTGAAACTGGTAAAAGTTGTAGTTTAATATTATTTATTTGCGAAAAGGAATAAAATGAAATAATTAAAACTGGTGATAACTTTTTAGTTAATTTAAATACCCTTGCATGATAAAGAAAAAATAAATTATAACATTTATATATACAAAAAAAATGAGAGTCTGCCAGACATATCTTTCTATATTTTAAAATGGCGAATGATTTATAGAATATTAGGCCAGTAACTTGAGGATCGAAAGGAGAAATTCATTGCAAAAATTATGGAGATTTGTTTAAATCTTGTATATATGGGCTTAAATATGTAAAAAAACAAATTGCTAACGCGGGCCATCAAGAAAAAAATTTGTCCACACAAAAAAATCCAGATTTTTTGGTTTTTTTTCACCTTAAACTTTTAGATGGTATCATTTTATTTAAACCCATAAATATATATATATATATATATATATACAGAGTGCTTAATCCTTTTTGTTAAGTAGCCAAACTGCAAAAATGGACTTAGGACCTCAAAAAAAGAAAATAATTTCCCCTGAAGGTATGTCAGCAATCCCTTTGTTTAGGAGATATTCACACCTAAAGATTTTCGTTGTTATGAATTATTTACTTTATATGAAATAAATAAATCTATTTATTTGTTCCAATTACTTTAAAATAAAACTTAAACATTAACATTCATATGAAATGTTGTTTAAAGTGAAGATATGTTATCTAAATCAATGGATCGGCCGTGCAGAACCAGTGGCTTGGCCTGCACGCTCTCCAGACCTGACACTACTGGATTTTGTTTGTTTGGGGTGACATTAAACAAACAGTCTTTCCAAGTCCGATCAATGACCATATCTCCTTGCGAAGAAGAATAATTGAATCTTGTGAAACAATAACACATATTCAGTGTCGTTCTGCCACTGCTGCTGTTGAAGAAAGATGCCTGTCTTAATACTCAAGGAAATCAATTTGAACAACAGTTAATATGAATTTAATGTTTACGTTTAATTAATAAATTAGTTAGTAAAATAATAGGAAACAAATAAATAAGTTAATAAAACGTAAATAATTCATAACAATGAAAATCTTTAGCTGTGAAAATCTCCTAAATAAAGCGTGAGTGAACATACCTTCAGAGGAAATTGTTTTTCTTGTTTTGAGATCCTTAATTCATATTTTCAGTTTGGCCACTGAACTCTGAAACACCCTTTATATAAATTTAAAAAATAAAAACTTTTCGACCCATTTTTCGCAATGGATTTCCCGTTTCGATCCTAAAGTTACTGGACTAATATTCTTTAAATTAGCTGCCATTTTTACAGGTAGCATGATCTGATTAACAGACTCTCATTTTTATGTTCACTTACTTATATGTATGTGAACATAATATATATGTAATAATAATAATAATATATGTATATGTAATATATAGATACGGGAAAGTATTGAGATCGTGAAAATTTTCAATAGAAATACACGTTTTGAGGACCACTGAGTCCAAATAACCAAGTCCCACAAAATGGCCTCTGTGTGTGTTTATTATCAGTTTAGTTCAATATGGACTCAAAATTATCTTCATATAACGTCAATTTTTTTGCACGGCCTTTCGGATTAATACATCTGCTGAATACACAGAATATACCTGCTGCAAATATCTTGTTCGTTGGTATATTGCAGAGCATCATGCATTTCTGTGCTTTACACAGATTATACTACAGTTCTTTTGTACAATGAAAGCCGAAGTCCATTCATTCCTACCATCGTCCGTAGGAACTATGTGGTAATGACCTCAATCCGTTACGTAACTAGCCGACATTGGGAACCTTGCTTGAGACCAGTTTCTGTCTTCAGGTCTTTAGCGATCTCGGCTCTTCCAGCCTCGTTTAACATCTTTATGATGAATTGTGAAGGATTCCATTTTAAGCCGCGAGAATAAAAAAATCATTTTCACTTTTAAATCACGTAATAAACTTTTTCAGTGTGTCGGAGGTTATTGGATTGGAGATGATGCATTTTAAATCAGTTCTTTAATCCCCAGTTCATATTATTCTAATTCTTTATAGATTAAATTCGAATAGATAAATTGATAAATTAAATTTTCGAGGGCTGGGTGGCCGAGAGAGGCGTGTAAAAACTGAAGATAAGAGTTCGAGTCTTGGTGCTGGGAGAAATTTTATCTCTGACATTAATCCCCCGCCCTCTCCACTGGCCTTGGGATCTATTTAAAAATATATATATAAATAAATAATAATGAGATTGTGTAAAAGCGAAAATTTTAACACTCTCGATTTTATCGAAATCTATACAGTAAATTAAGAGATTGAGTCCTTAAAAAATAGGGGGCTCAATCAATAGACCTTTTTAAGACTTATAAGTGAATTTTTTCCGTATTATTTTCTAATTACTATTTTACTATTATATACTTGAGTAATCGTTAATCGTCAAACAAAAAAAATATATTTTTATTTTCCAATATGATAAATTTACATCCTTGAAATTTTCAGAAAACAACTCTGGTCATGTTTAAAATATCCTAAGTATTATTTTTTCTAAAAATCGTCAAATCAGATATTCAGGCTGAGTGTCTTTAAATCACATTTATTTTTTAAATCTGTTGAGAAATATCTATATTTTTTTCTTTTCGGCACTATGCATTACGATGGCACATAATTCAAATACTTGCGAGCCAAGGACATATTTCCTCAGACTTTGTAATTTCCTATTTCCAGATGGATGCATTTTATAACATTCACAAGTGAACTACTTTCCTGAAATCTTTAGGACTTTCTCTGAGGTGAAGGATGAAATTTCACCGAGACAAGTAAGGCAAAGAGGTGTGTTATCGATTTATAAGAAACCACCTCAATAATACGATACCTGACTCGATTAGACACGTTTTCATTTTTTTCATTACTCCGATTAAGTGAATGCAACGCTGTTTCCAATATTCATGAGGCGCTAAAAGATTTAACTGGGTAAAGTATTATTTATATTCGGAATAACAAGAGTTATTTATATTTATTTAATTTTAATAAGGTTCTTGTTACAGCCAAATAAAGCCGCAAACATTAGAGACGAAAAACCAGGACTTTCAAATTGTATCAGTTTTCGCCTTAACCTAATGTTATTTTAAAAAGAAACAGAAGAGAGCTATGAAAAATGAAAGAAAGTGTAAAATACGTCAAAGAAAATGATTGATTGAGAAAATGTATTATTCATATCTAGCCAAGAACCATTAAATCCAACGACACTACTCAAGTAACATGAACGTAAAGGCAATGAGCAAAAGTGTCACTAGCGCTTATTTACGCCAAACTCTTTGATTTCTCTTGAAAAATCAATAATGAACGGGTCGGCTACAAACACTAGCCTAGAAAATACCCCCTTTTACTTGCTGACCATAAGTTTGTGAAATGTTTAAAAGTTGCTCTATAGTTAAGGTCAGGAGTCTCGTAGATCAGGGGTTTAAGTCATAGCTCGCGGGACTCGGGTGGGAGTCTCAATGCGGCACTTTGGACTTAATGAAGGTCTTAATATGTTCCGCGAGCGAAATGTTTGGAGGCTCCTGATTAAGGTGGTCACGAGAGGCCGAGCATGTATAATCGTTGCCCGCTTGAGTATTCTCGAGTCTAGGAGTACTGGATCTAATCTATTAAATATATATAGTCACATTTCTTTATCATATTATCAACAATCAATGCCCATTGTGTGCTTATGATCTTCTCCAATTCAAGTCCTCTGTCCACTCTCTTATCACAAGATCTCTACCTTCTGAACTTTATACCCCATTTCACAAATCTGCCTCTTTCCAAAGCTCCTTTATTTGCCAGCTTCGCTAATCTCTGGAATTCCCTCCCTTTAAAATTCCGGCATGCTCCCTCCTTATCTAACTTTAAAACCCTCCTATTTGAAAAACAGTCAGAAAATGGCTAACCATGAGTTAAACTCGAGAACCTTGCTTTAATAACCAATGTTTTATATATACATATACTTTGATTTTTCATTATTTCTCATGAAATTGTGTATATTCTTACGTATACTTATGAACTCTACTTATATTTTTTATACCGTGTCATTGCTGTTCTACAAGATTATTAGATTACTGTGCTCTTGAAGTTGTTTAATTTATTTATTTTCTTACTATTTTTGTTTAAAACGTTTTAATTCTTACCAAAATAGAATATACAAATCTTTATTTCTTTCCTTTTTTTTAAAGTTAGTTATTCTTATTTGGTGCTTATTTATTAGAGAAATTAATTTTTTATTTATTGCTTTTATTTCTATCTGTTTTCTTTATTTTTTTAGTTAAACTGTGATTATTTTGTTTGATTTCTTATTTGCATTATTTAGAGTTCTAACAATTTTGTATATAGTTTCATCATTTTGTTTTGTATATTTTGTTAGTTTACATAAGATATTTTATTTATTTAATGTAGTTCTCTTGGCCAGAAGTAATCTTTTGTTCTGAAACATTTTGTTATTCTCAAGGGGCTTTGTCTCAGAATAAAGTTATTTCTCTATGTGTCTATCTATATTCCAACATCCTAAAAAGTATGCTAATAGTCATAATAATTATTATTAATTGTCTTTATTAATCCATGTTACATTAAGTTGCTATTGGAGGCTGTTGAAAATTAAATTAGGCTTGACTAAGATTTTTTTGTTTTTGGCACTAATTTTTCAATATTAGCATTTGCCTGTACAAAATTTATAAAAATGAAATAATGTATGGAATTTTTTTTATTCCAGGATCAGAATGCTGGCCATTATACTTGTTGTATTGGCCGCCTATGCCTTCTATCAGTATTCAGTGTGGACCTTCGACTACTGGAAGAAAAGGAAAGTTCCCCATCCTCCTCCAGTTCCGTTGTTTGGCAACATAAAGGAAGTGGTCTTGATGAAACAGTATCCTGGCCACTGCCATCAACAAATATACAAGTATACACAATGCAAACATATTGAAATATATAATTAGAGTTTGAGGAAGATCTGAGGATAAGATGGATTCAAGAGTTTACTTCGCGGTAACAAATTAAAATTCGCCTCACGAAATGAAGACAGTACCTAATCAAAATTCCTCCACTTCTCAGAGTGGTGTGGTGTGATTTTAATTTGCTTTCTCTTTCTGGATTACACACCTATTCAAAGGCAGTTAACGCATATTAAAGCTGTATTAGGGGATAACTATCAAATAACAGTTTAATACAAACAAGTTTACATATATTCACCATTTAAAACGTTTTTAATTTTTACCTTCATTTGTCCCATAAAAATTATTATCTCTCATCTATCGTAAAGGCTCCCTAAATGGAGCTCAGAAGAGGAGTATGGCGGAAGTTGCGTCAGAAAAAGTTTTAATGGCGCCACATTTTTACGTGGTAAGAAATTTTCGGAACTAGAAAAAAATAAGGAGCAAACAGCAATTGTTTATAATTTTGCGTTTAATTATACTTTCGCTTGTACTGTCTTGCATACTCTTAAAAAAAAAAAGCAATGAATTTTCTTGTAAGGAAAATACGTCATCACCTTGGGAGAATGGGCACCACTGACGAAAAATATTTTAATCTTAAATTTCAATTCTTCATAAAATGTATTATTGAGTATTCAATTGAATCATTTATAGGGTAAATTCACTAGTAGCTGACATGTTTAAGGAAATTTCTTTGAACTTTTTAGTTCAAAAACTCAAATATTGATTTTAATTTATTTTTCGTGAATTCATCTTATAGAGCTACTTTTCATTTTGTCAAGACAAATTTCAAATCCATGAAACATCTACTTAATTTTTAAAAAAATTATAGATTTAGAGATTAGTTTAATTGCATCTGTAGCTGACACTGTTTGTTTAGCAACGTTCCTATAGCTGATTGCGATAAAAACAATGATGTAAATATAGTGTTGAAATTATATGTTCTTCATTTTACAATAAATATTAACAAAAATTACATTTACCTTATCATAAAACTAATTTCATTTCGTTTCCCTACTTAAATTCGTCGATAAATGCTCGACACTGACAAGAGAGTGTGTTAGCCGATTTTTTTTTTTTTTTTTCCATTCCCCCAAAACGCTTATTTTATAAATTAAATATAGAAGTATAACAATACTAATATATACATATAATAAAGTCCTTCCACTGCCCGAGAGCATTTTAAGGATTAAGGGTAACATATGTGGCAGAAGACCTTGTAACTTTCATTGAACGGGGAGGGTCCGTTCTGCTAATTATTTATTATTTGCAATATTTACACTTTTTACAAATATACACATTAATGGGTTTGGACCGTAGAGTCCAGACCACATCCTTCGGAGAGTATGTCCACCAAAGGGAGTTTACCTTGCCACCTCCCAGGTCTGGGTGGTGGTGAGATCTCATTAAACAGTGGTTTTGCACAGGCTTTATTTTTAAATTGCTTTCTATTTTATTCTAAATAACTAGCAATTTGTTGTTATTGACGAGAGAGTAGTGGAATGGATTCTTTTTTAAGACCCGTTATATTAAATATATCTCTTTGAATTTATGAGAGTAGAGGCCTATCAGCTATTGGTAAAAGACCCCATTATAAGTCTCCTTTAAAGGACAAACTCCTTCATCAAGATAAGTTAAAAAAAAATGAAACATAATCTAAAATCAGTCCAAGAAAAAATAAACGAAACTTTTTAGGATAAATCGAAGTAGTTATAGGGAAAAGTAAAACATAAGGCATGATGTCCTTACTCATAGATGGTTTTTTCTAACACTAAGTGGACCATGAGGGACCTTTCTAATTTTTCACTCATTATTTCGGTTTCGGTTTGCGGCAATAGTAAAGCAAAGTAGGCAAATATACCATGGCAAAATGTAGAATTAAAAATTTTATGGAAGTGCTCTAGGATGTCCTGAAATCTTATTATTCCGATTTTTTCAAAGAGAGGGGAACATAAGCTGTTAGCTACTTAAGCTTTTATCCTACTCCGCCATGGACGTGTATTTTATATCTTGCAGGATGTACCCAAACGAAAAGTTCGTGGGGCTTTATCAACTTAGAATGCCCAGCCTGCTCATCAGAGACCCATCTTTGGTAAAGCAGTGCCTCATCAAGGACTTTGACCACTTCTTCGACAGAGGTTTCCACACGGACGAAGAACGGGAGCCACTAACGGGACACCTCGTCAGCCTGACGGGCACCCGATGGAAGCTCCTGAGGACCAAGCTTACCCCGGTCTTCAGCTCTGGCAAGATCAAGCAGATGTTCCCCCTACTTCTAGACTGCTCTGACCAACTTAGAGATTTTATAAAGGTCTGGGATATCTTTTAGTATTCGATGCATTCTTATTTCTATCAAAAATGGAATAGTCAGACAGATATTCATTATATGCTTCCTTAGATTGTAAGTAATAATACAATAAACAGTAATAAAACACAAACAATGGAGGTTATATAATTCGGTAAACTAGAAAGCGTAATAGGATTTGAGGCTGTTGAACCGAAATATTAACATAATCCTTGAAATATTAACGCGGTGTTAAATATTAGATTCTTTTTTTGATTTCTTAAGTAGCACTCGTATTTATTTATATTTATCTTGAGTTTATTGTAAAAAGTCACTCTGTATCATTTTATGAAAATAACTCACTAAGTACTTTGATGAATTTTATCTCTGTGAAATTATAAGGTTGTGCACTTTGCGGAACAATTTAAGGTTTATAAAAGGTTTCGTGTCGTTTTCATGAACTGAATGTTTGCATCGATAAATAATTTCGAAGTTTACAAAAATGTACTCAAAAATTTATCTCCATCAAAAATGTACTTGGAGACTTTTTGCTAGCTTAAACTGACAATATACTTCTATCCAACTGACAATATAGTTCTATCCAACTGACAATATATTTCTATCCAACTGACAATATAGTTCTATCCAACTGACAATATAGTTCTATCCAACTGACAGTATAGTTCTAATTAACTAAAGCAGTAGCAGCAGCCTCTTTAAGTAATGTGATATTTCTGTTTCAATTATCTCTGAAAATTGAAGTATAGTTGCGAAAACTATTTAGATATATACAAAGTATGTGATTTTTTTATACAAGCTACAACTCAATATGCTTCTAATTAATATTATGGTTTAATATACAATTCTGTATAGTTATGGTTGTTTGTTTTATACAACATTTGTTCTATTCAGACCCAGATGGGAGGAAAGGAGGGTGTTCTTGAGATGAGAGAAGTTACAGCTAGGTTCACGACGGATGTAATTGGAACGGTAGCTTTTGGTCTACAATTCGAATCTATGTCAGGTATGTAAATTCGTATAAATGTTATCATAAAAATCCTATTCAAATCGATAAAAAATTCTTTTTGATATAAAATAACTTATACCAGCGATTGGATATCTAAGTACTATTCAGAAGGTTTAGATTCCTCGGTATACACTAAAAGATTCATTAATATGAACAACCTATTTAACATATGCAATAAGTTCGGTTAAACTTTAGAGTGGGGATGGCCATAGGTAGTTAATATTATGAACTCGATATTTTCCTTCCGATATTCGATATTTTACCATTAATAGCATCTACTATGGGCATCATCCATTCAATATTATTGGCTATCGATATCGTTCCTTCGATATTTTAATAATTTCGGAAATCTCTAGGAATGATTCATGAATTTCATGGTTAGAAAAAAATATATACTCATCTTGCCTGTTTCGTATACAATATACTGCATAGTAGAGGAAAATATCGATATTTCGATAATATCGACTATCGATGGCCATTCCAAAGTAGAGTTGAATAGCGCGCGTGGAATCCTTCTCAATCAATAAACTCAATTTTTCCAAATTTGTTAGTTAGAACCTTCTCAAACCAAGCCACGATTTGTCAATGAAATCTATATAGGTTGCAAATAAATTACCATTTCGCCGAATGCGATCTCCTGATGAATGGAAGGCATAATTGGTTGAATGTAAAACAGCTGAGGATGACAAAGGATCGACAAGAACCAGGAAATTAATTTTACTTTAGGACAGTAGAACAATTGATATATCCATTAATTAATTTTTATATCTATTTATTGAATAAATTAATATTCTGTCACCTGAATAGATAGATAGAAATTAACTTTATTCTGGGACGAGGCCTCTTAGGAATAAAAATTATGAACGAAAAAATAAAAAACACATCTGGCCCAAAAATGACATCAATCAACATTAAATAATATAATATATACAGTATCTTAAGTGAAAATATATTAAAACAAATAAAAAGTAACACCATTTTGAAAAAAATAAAACATTATTTAAATGAAAAGAAAAACAGGAATCAGGTAAAAAATACAAAATAACATAAGGGTATATAATATAATACAAAACAAAATAATATAAGCATGGATTGATTTTTAAAATTAAAACTCAAACAATTTCAACAACCATTCACCTCAGTCATAAATAGGATAGTGGTTAAACAGATAGGATAGTTAGATAGTGGTTATAGGGAGGTAAAATCACACTCACACTATATTAATTAATTTAAAGAGGGGCATAACATATTTTTTTATGCACCCACGTGCTAGAGAATAAATATTTATATTGGTATTGATATTTCTAAATTACTGATTTCTCATATAATAATATATATAATAATAACATATAATAATATCAATGAAAATATCCACTTCTGATAGCATCGATATTTCAAGTTCGATATTTTGATGATATCGATAATTATAGATCGATATTTCAACCCGATGATAATATCTATATTGGGCTTACGATATCCCATCCCTACTTTAGAGTCATGGATAGTTTGTTGAGCGCTATTGTATACCTGATGCGCCTACTTCAATCAAGAACGATTTCATTAAAATTTAAAATGTGTAGCCACATAACTGAAACGTTATGTTAAAACAAAACAAATGACATTTATGACAATTGTGTGGATGCATTACAAACACAGCAATATTTAATACGTATTTATAACATCCTAATACAAAAGATAAGTATGAAGTAATTAAACTGATCAATATTAATTAATCATATAAAGTTGATTATATAAAGTTCATTTCTCTGATGAATGATAAATAAAATTCATTAAGGTTTATTTCCAAAATAATTCGGGTAGGATAGTACTTTTTTCGTTTGTTATTCGATACTGAATTAATTATTTATGACAACAAATGGGAATAAATTGTTTATTTAGAAAACTAGTTAAGCCAAGTAGACCGTCTAGAGCCAAAATCGGGAGACTTTAGACCTGCGATTTTTGGTCATGCAACAGGCCTGTGAGCGAGGATCGGTCTATAGACGTGTTTCGTAGACAAACTGAGACAAAAATCGCGCAACATGTCTACTAGTGTGGACTAGGCTTTATACAGAAAACAAATGACCGAAACAAAACCTTATCTAATTTTACATTACTATTAAAATTAAATCTTGAAACATTATTCTCTAAAAATAAAAATAAAAACCGGTGTACAAGGTACTACTAAGTACAAGTAATAAGTACAAGGCAACAATAAAATATTATTCGTTATGAAGGAATAAAAATTTCTCCTTAAATGTAATGGACCAAAAATATCTATTTATATTTATTGTGAAGTCAACATATAATTTCATTAGTTATTACAGCAAACTAGGTTTCTATTGTTTAGAACAAAGACAAGATTAACCATGAAACATTATACTTATAGAATCTTAATGATGTATGATCAAATATTATATTGTAAAAAAAAAAATTACAATAGAGGTATCAATATAAAAAAAAAGAAAGAGCGGCAGGGTTACAACACTAAAATCATAGTGGCGTTGATTAAATTATAGAAAGAAATCCTAATTTGACATAACAAACACATAATGAAAATTTAATATTTTGAATAATAAAATATTTTTTATTAAATAAATTTGTAATCATATTATACCGAATTTGAGTACAAAAAAAAAAAAAAAAATAGCAACCCTAGTAATAGTTTTCAGTGGGATGTAATTGTAGTCGCTGGGATGTTAAGGATTGACAAAGGATCAAACTTCTTCCAAACATTCCTTCAGATATCGGTATTTCATTTTTATTAAATAAAGGGAACACACCTATGGAGCCACAGGAGTTTGGTAAATATACCTGCTGTAATTATTTTATCTTTCAGGTGATTCTGTGTTTCGCCAAATGGGAAAGAGAGCGCTGCAGCCTACAGTGGCCGGTGCCCTAGCCAAGGCAATGAGGTGCTTCACTCCAAAACTGTTCGATCTTCTGAAGATGAGGACCTTCCCGGAGGAAATCAACTCCTTCTTCACGAACGTCGTCAGCGAAACGATGAAGCAGAGGACAGAAGCGAATTATGGCCGGAACGATTTCCTTCAGCTTATGATGCAGCTAAGAGACGCCTCTGGAGCAGATATAGCTAAGAATGATATAGGTTACTTATTCAATATATAGGTTTGCATATACATAAATATAGGTAGCAATAGGCATTGCTGAGTTCGAGGTTTTACGCCTCTTAGCCTTAAACAACAACAACAACATAGGTTAGCTAAATACCAGAATGATAATTATTTTATAGAAAGCATCTTTAAATTTAGTTTTTAAAAACTATTTTTGGTTATGAAAAAAAAATCCAAGTTCATATTGGACCACTCCAAAGAGTTTTTAATGTTTAATCTAATATATATTTACTATATCGAATATATTTAAACTGAGCACTTGAACATTTGAAACGTTTAAAAATAGGGTTGCATGAATTTTTCAATTTTTATTCTTCGATGAAAATTAGATTATAACAATAAAAATACAAAAAGACCCAAAATTTTCTGATACATATTTGTAAATTTAGTCAGCGTTAAAGAAAGGTGTTGGGGATGGAACTATGTTACGAGATTGGTAACACAACAACGTCATGAGATGCCATCACCTTTGCTTTGCCATAACCATGACATTGGCTATCTTATGCTTTTCAGCTTACAAACTAGATCGGGCTATCGCGTTTGAACAGCACCGTGCATTGCCCGGCAATTTCATAACAGAAGTTATGAGATAAAAGAAATACAAGTTCGCGTCCTGGTGCCGAAGGAGCTTTTAACTCTGGCATTAATCCTCCGCCCTCACCCCCTGGCTGGGGAAAACTCCGTATAGCCTGAAAGGTGAGTAAGGCGTGAGCTCCTCCCTCCCTCAACAAAAAAGTCTTATGATAATGTATCCAGCTTCGAAATTCCCCTCCCTTTCCAGGAAATAACTTAAATTATTTCTCGCATCCTGTCGTCTCAGATTAAAAATATTTAGTTTAAGATTTATTAAATTAGTTTTTACTAATGCATGTTAATAAATTGGAGCTCAGTGACACTTTGACAGAATCGTGTTGGGCAGCCTTATACGTCACACAACAAAGGACAACAGTCATACCCAATGACATCTTACATTAGTGACGCATTCTTATTTCATGTCTTTAGCCAAATATGAATATTTTTGCAATAATTCAACATTACAATCTTAATGTCTTTTATACCCTATATCACTTGAATTCTAATGCAGTTGAAATTCACGATTTTTTTTTCCATACAAGTACTTATTTATAACTTTTTTTTTCTCAAAGTTTCCACTAAATTTTTCTTTTTCATATTTCCCCAAAACTTTATTATCAAATAGATTTATAGACTTATTTATTTGATTTAGCCTCTACCCTATAGGCTCATTAATTAACATTAATTTAATGTTAGAATAAATAAATTGAAATTTCTAAAAACAAAAAAAATAAAAAATTGAAAAGTGTAATCATCGGATAAACACATTCGAAAAACAAGATGTAAATGGAAATTTAGATGTAAATTCTTGCTGACGTAAAACCTAAGTAGATTTACTAAATTACAGAATAATTACAGCTCCTCGTCCATTTACAAACAATTACTGTAATTGTACGTGATTGTATCGCTACCATTCACATACTAACCAACAGGATCTAAAATTTCTGTCTAAGTTTTTGTGTTTGAATTTTTACCACATGTTTATAAAATAACAAAGCTAATAACTATACAATGTTATTTCATGATTTCAAAGGTTATTTAGTAAAAAATTAGATTAAGTCATAATATTATTTGGGGACATATTATTGCAAAAAAATTATAACAACTTCTGTTAACTGATATAGTATATAATAAATAATGAGTATATTTCTAAAGATAATTTGAGTTATAACGACACAAGCATAAATTTCATTTTGAGAAGAGCTTATTGATTTCAGAACTAAATGACCAAGTTATAGCAGCTCAGGCATTCGTTTTCTTCCTGGCTGGGTTCGAGACCTCTTCCACTACTCTCAGCTATTGTCTTTATGAGCTAGCTAAGAACCGCCAGTGTCAAGAAGCAGTCTTCAATGAAATCCAGGAGGTTATGAAGAAACATGGAGAACTGTCGTACGAAGCTGTGTCTGACATGATTTACCTTGAGCAGGTTTTGTTAGGTTTGTATTTATTGAAATATATATATATTATTTAAGGTATTTTCATAAAGCCTTCTATTATATAATTGACTAAAATATATTCTCTGCATATTATATGTGATAACTCGGAAATTCGAGAAAAAAAATACAATCTTAATCCGATTAAAAATGTCAATCCATCATTCGAAAGACTTCTCCTACTAAAAATAGTTATGATTATATTGGCCTTTATGTGTATTTAATATATGTCTACTGTATATATTTTCATTTCTATTGGTTCCACAAGGGGATCGAACTATTCAAAAATATATTAATTATATATTTAACTAGGGGGTACCCCCTGTCCAGCTAGCGGCAGACCAGCTCTCGTTTTACAAATTAAACAAATGAAAAAATTGTATGAAAGAGAAATTGTTAAAGAAGAGAATAGTTGAAAACTTAGATCCTGACCAGTTAGAAAAAATATTATCTTGGATAAAGGCGCAATATCCGGAAACCCGCACAGCGGTAATGTTCTGCGGACATTCCTCCTTGTAAAATAAAATATCGGTCACTAAAAACCTATTTATATAATAGAGAGGTATGAGGTAAAAAGAAAGGCTAGATACCACAGGGCCCCTTCTTGCAATATACTAGATTAAATTATACTTTAAATCAAATATAATTTCCAAGGGTATAGTGATACCAATCTACTATTATTATTTATATAACTAAATAGTGGCATGAAAATTCACAATAAAATAAAATCTTGACACATTATAAATATATATGAAAATATGGCACGAAGGATGCTAATGTGGATATGACTAATTGAAATGACTACTTTAAAGTTCTCTCACAAGCCCCTTGATCTGATTTTTCCACTGGACTTGCATCTTCAAGACAGAGATTGTTTCTCACAAGCTCACTTTCAGAATGTACCTCGTTTAAGTTTTTCTGTTATAATTTTTAAATTTGTCTCTTGATTCTTTAAATTGGCCAATCTTTACCTGTATAAGCATCTAAGCGGATTTTTGACCCAAAAACAATATTTGAGAAGCGGAACCCAGTAGAGAACCGGTAGATACTCATGCTATGTCATAGAGTTAACCTGCAATTTTCTGTGTTGGTTATTTTTTAATTTTCCGTAATAGAATGACTATACTAATTGTTATTTGATGGAATATATTTCAATTTATTTCACTCATCAGCACCCTCGATACAAAGCTATATATGTATATATTATTGTTGATTTGTTTTTAACTATAAAATATCACTAGACTGATGCGTTTATATTTATATCTCTCTATTATATAAACAAGTTTTTGGTGACTGTATCATATTTTATTTTACATGTATAAAGTAGAATGGACCGTTCTTATTCCCAGAATTATTTTTCTCTTATTATGGTTACAAATTGGCATCTCTGAATGAAGATCACTGAAGACCGAAAAAGATGGAAGAGGATTATCCAATAATGAACATTACAAGAATGGAACCGGCGCTGGGTGACAACGCTAAAAGGATCAACTCTAAGAAAACACTTCTCCACCATCGGTTCAAGAATTGATACTTCATGGTCCCTACAGGACTATTGGGCCTCACAATTTCCCACGGGATATAGGGGATTCCGAGCTTGTTAAACATGGGAAGAACAACCCTATGTCCAAGTTGTAGGGCATCGGAGACCGCCGAGCATATCTAACTTGTCTACCGCCTCTGGGGCACTGAGGGCTAAATTGCTGAGGGAGAGAGTGCGATATCCCTCAACTAGAGACCAAAAAAAACTACCCGTATTACAAGACCTTTGTCTACGGGTAGAAAGACGTAATCCGCCCAGTCCACTTCTACTTGGGAAGAAGAAAAGAAGCTCCACCACAGAGGATAGAAGAGCCAAGATAAGCAAGATGTTTTCATAGATAGCCAAATCTAATTGTATTAATTGCAGTATTAACGCAGTTATGCATGCGTGAGAAGCTATCCATTACGGTAAACACTTGTATTGCCTATCCGGAAGAAAAAAAATTTAAATAAATAAAAAAATGGTTACAAATTGACAATAAGAATAATTATCTATCTCTTATATAAAACAGTTTTAAGTAACCAAGTATTGTATTTTACATATATTTTGAACTTCTGTAATCCCCTACTGTCCTAATACAAAATATAGATTTTAAACTGGAATTTTTTACGGAAAATGATAGTTCGAATGATCGCCGTAGAATAGCTCTACTATCGCGCCCAAAGAACGAGGCTGAAAAGTTGAGCTCCTGTAAACGTCTATTCTCCTAATACTAAATAGAGATTTTCACCCTGGTTTCTTCGATAAATGTGTCGTTATTAATTATAATTATTAAGATTTTCCATTTGTAACATTATCATTATTTATTAAATCACATTGGTTAATATATAACTACACAATAAACGTAAATTACAGTGATAAAATTTGAGCAACGAGTTGAACAATAAAATGCACAGTTGTATAATTTGTAAAATGGGAGTAGGTCACCCGTTGTGCGGTTACGGAGTATTCCCCAACTAAATATTATAAATACAATAGAAAAAAAAATTTATGTTAATGCTCAAATGTATTTATATAAAAAAAATTCAACTGTTCTTGCAATTGGTGACTCTTTAACTTTTAATATTGAATTTACAAGAGATGATGATTTCAGAGACAATGAGAATGTACCCACCAGTTGGCAACCTTTGTCGAGTCTGCACGAAACCTTACCGCATACCCGGTACCGATATCCAACTGGACGAGGGAGTCAGCTTGGTCATCCCTGTTTTCGCCCTCCATCATGATCCGGAGCTGTACCCTGATCCAGAGAGCTTTATTCCCGAAAGGTTCACCGATAAGGAGCTCCAGAAAGCACCTTATTACCTCCCGTTTGGAGGAGGTCCAAGAATCTGCATAGGTAACTTGTGTCATAATATTTACTGTAAATATGCCAATTTATTTATAGTTTCCTATTAAAATTTATCAAATATGTAAACAAACCAGTTTTATAATTATTAGCTTATTTTTCTCGTCTCTACCCAATAACAATAATTGTAAAACAATAAGTGTTTTAATCCCAAGCACTCGCCAAGGATTTGGAACTTACTCTTCATTATCACACAGTGTTTCTATTCCTGATAATGTTAGAAAGATCTTTGTAATTGGGAACATTCTTGCAGGGTTTTACTGATCATGGGATAGGAGGATATTGTCACATTTTCGCATGTGGATGCTTCGAGAGCTGTTGGAAGGAAACATGAGCGGGCTGCAGAGTTGCCCTCCCCTTCCTCTCCCCCCCCCCACCAAGGTCGATGGCGCAAGAACTTACTCCCTCCATCTTTTTTTTATTATTATTTTTATTAAGGTTATTTTTTTTTTCACCTTTTCACACAAACAGCAAGAAAAATTAAAATTAGAAAAATCAAAAAAAAAAAAAAAGGTCTAACACAATTTCACTTGCTGCGGTCTGGTCCACGTTTTTTCCTTGTCCCTTACTATGGAACTTTTTATTCCAATAAATCATAACCTCATTGAAATTAGCTCCCCTCAAAAATTCCAAAACTCATCAAAATAGACCCACCTTAGAAAGTTTGATGGAACAACTTGCCCCATAAATCCCCCTTTTGGGCAACCCTGGTGGCTGATAGTGTGCAATCATAAGCCGTTGTATGACAAATTCTCTCCTCGACATTTTGGAGCTTGTAAGCCATCCACAACTATCGAGTTTTCCCTCTGTAGTCTTCCTTTCCTTTTGGTAGTCTAGAGTTTTCCTTCTGTAGTCTTTTCTTTCATGGGTACATTCAGTCACTTCTTCTCTTCTAGCTCAATGGACTTCGTAGACTGGAACCCATACTAAGGCTATAGAAATAGTTATATTTTTGATGTCCCACCTTATGCTAAGTATTTACCTCATTCAGACATTTCTTAGTCAAGAGCTGTCTGTCAATGACAGCAATGACAGTCAAATGTGAGGCTCCAAAAACTTCCCACGATTCATTTTTTATTTTTTTAACTTGCTATTCCGCATCTTTCATAGAAATGCACTGATAGTATTGTTTACAGCTGAAACTACTTTATCATGTAAAGGTACTATTTTATATTTATGATATGGATTAATAAACTAGGATCTATTTGTATTGTTTATGAACTAGTATTAGGATCTGTTACTTAGATAGTTTTTCTCTCTCTACATAAAATGTATTTATGTGTATGTGTATTTTTTTTTCTAGGACAAAGATTTGCAATGATTGAAATGAAACTTGCTCTTTTACGGCTTCTGGAGAATTACACTTTCTCTCTTTCTTCGAAAACTCCACCCGAACTTCCCGTCGAACCCAAGAGTTTTATAATGGCTCCAATTGGGGGTATATGGCTGAATCTCAACGCTAGGAGTTGACGCACCATACGACCCCGCGATTAGAACACTCATTGATAGCTCATAGAATTTAACGAAATAATTTAATTTCTATTGAGAAAACATCAGAGAGACCTGTGATATAAAAGTGAGGAATGTGCCCTAAATGGCAGAAGTAGTATGTAAACTAATGTCATAAAGTAAATAAGATTATTAGGGTATTCATGCCTCAAGTGTATTAGGTTTATTAATTGATTTCTAGTATTATATAAGTAATTGTATTTGTAAAACACATTTAATTTGTTTAAAAATTAAAATTTAAAAAGCTTTCAATTTTAACTATAAAGTTTATATTTCTTAAACTTTGCACAAATAAAGTTTGTTTTCTTCATAATTTTTTCTTGCTTTTTCTAGATGATGGGATATTTTTCGGCTCTGAAGAAGATAAGCTTCAAAATGGATTTGATGAATGGGTTTCTTTATGATATGGATTACTGAAAAAAAAAGTCGGCTAAATAATAATATATAAGACTCCATACCTAAAGATAATATAAAAACGGCTATCTTACAATAACCATTGATTAATAAAAATAAATTCTCAAAAAAAAGATACAAAATTAGCTTTTACAATCCTCAAATCAGTGAAAAATTGGCTGGTCAGTTTTTTGAACCGAAAACTTTTTAGGCTCGTTTTGCACTTTTTTGTTGAGAGTGAATTAGATTGTTCCGTCAGATTTCCGAAGTGTTAACGCTCGGGTAAAGTCGGCTAGGGTCGACTGATTGAAATGTTTTTACGTGTGGATTAAAATATATGAAAAACTGAAAATCGGGCCTCCATATTGTAAGCTAGGAAATTGTTCAGCATTTCATCCTGTCTTTAACAGGCTATAATTCAAAATTGTATCTCATCGCGACGCCATATTAAAGAGGGGAAAAGGAAAAAAAAATTGTAAAACATATGGGTTAAAATATTTCAGACACTGAAAAACGGACCTGTATACTGTAAGCGAGAGAAATGTTAAGCATTTTATTTTCTTTGTTGTGAGCTATTATTTATAATTTATATTTCATATTATTAATCTCGTCTTGTTGATGTTTTCACTTATAAGTGTCACTTATATCTAAAGCAAACACCTTAGTTTTTTTTTTATAAACTGTTTTGGTATTACTGGAACCTTTGTTTTCAATTTTTGTTTTCAGTTATTTCGGAACTAGAAATTTTTCCTTTGCAGTTTTTCAATTAAAGGTTTTACAGAAATTTTATTTAAAAAAAGAAACGTTTATTTAATAGTACTGTTGCTGTGGCCAGCAATGGAGAAAATTATAACTCCACTCTAGGCCCAATTACGGTAAACGCATCAGTGATGGACATAGCAATGGAATGTATTGTATTTTTTGGCTTATTATATCTAAAGCAAACAAATTAGTTTTTTTTTTTCTCTTAACTGCCGTAATTATTATAGTTATTAGCTTCTCCGTTGAACATTTACATTTACATTTATATTTCAATAGGTTTCAATTTATTTTTATTTACCAACTTATGAAGAGATACGTATTTAAAAAAAAAAAGTTTTTACTAGCTGTATACTTGCAAAAACAATTCCTCAACAAATCAGATTTCTTTTCCCTGAGACACTATGTCTATTTTCAGACCAGTATGGCAAAATGACAAATTAAACGGGACGTCTTGTAAATCTGTCAAGGACTACTTGTCTATAGACTCCTGCCATCTGGCCGTCATCTTCATCACTATCTTTCACTGTATCACCTTCGTAAATTTAATTTCATTGTTTTCTTATTACAAAAATTAAATATATAATATTGATTTATTCTTTAAAACAAAAATATTACAACTAAAAATGTATTGAAAATATAAAACATTATAATTTAAAACAAATACACTAGCTACATTAAATAGATATTTAGAGTAAATTATAACGAATTGATTTTGTAAATGATGGCCATGATATGGCCCACACTTGGTTTGCTGTCATTACAATACTGAAAAATATTCCGAATAATTACTCAATGGTCTATTGTTACCAATGATGTAGTTTTATACGAAACAGAGATGGCTGAGGGGGCTAAGGCTGTAGGCAATTACCTATAGGTAATTATATACCTATCGGCTAAAGGTAATTACCTACAGCAATACCCTGATTATGATCAGAGTTAAACAACGTCGAGCGTGGCATTTGAATGGATGTCCGGTCTAATTGGGTCTTTCTTGATCCCGTACACATTAATTCAGGTATTGCGATGTTGTTTTCTAGAATGTCAGTAATCGTAAGATTATGTCTTGATTTTTGTTTTTTTTAGTCCTCCCCTTCCTCACATTTTAAGGCTATACGGAGGTTTTCCCGGGACAGGGAGTAAGTGCTAGGAGTGGGGGGAGGGTTTAATGCCAGAGTTAAAAGATCCCTCAAATGTCTTAGTTTAAATATGAGGATATCAGTCAAATGAGCATTGGAATGTACAGTTTAGGGATGGCCATCTCTTCCTAGGCAAATAGAGACTTCTTTCTCCAAGAAATTGTATTGCTCTTCTCTTCTTTAAAACATTTCAAGCGAAAGAAAAATTGTAGATCATATACAAACACACTTATTCTGATTCCACGTTTTCCGCCTTGTTCCTTGGTTTGATAGTTCCTCCATATTGAAACCCCACTAATATATCGTTTTCACCAAAAATTCATAACTCCGTTAAGTATGTCCCTCCCCTGAAACATTTTTTCTGGACACTCCTACCGAGCCGGTATGCGGATTGCAATTGATAATTAGAACTAATGATTTATGATAATGGGAAAGAGACTTTTATAAGTATCAGTAGAAATAAGGCGTTTATAGTCTTCCAATTAAGTTACTCGATTCGGGCAATCATAAACCACAAATACTTACTACTCTCGAAGTTGTTTAACTCGTATTTAAATCCTCAAAAAATCAAATACTTTATTGCGATTTTATCTCAATTTTGGCGTTTTCGTGCCTCTTCAGGGATAATATCTGATTTACAAAATGTTGTGATTTTTTTTCTTGTACAACCAGTCCCAGTAGTGAGAACTCTGTGGGTACTCCTACACACCGAACTCAATAAGTCCCGGTGAAATGACCTAGGAGTAATGACCTATCACCTGTACATTAATCGGGTATTGCGAAGTAATTTTTCCAGGGCGTCAGTATCAGGCCGGAGGTTCGGTTCACGGACTATAGGGAAAGAAATATAGGTCCTCGTACGCCTAATGAATCACACAATCCAAAATCCATAGACCGGTTCGTCACTGACCTAGAACTCGAGTAAGTCGATGAGAAGGGTAATTTTAGATTGGTTCCGAACAGGGGTGCACATCACTCCTAAGGTGCATGAACCATACCCCTCTTCAAAAATTGTAATACTCTTCACTTCTTAAAAACGATGCAAGTGAAATTACAATTAGAAAATTCTTAGAAAACAATTACATTACCTGTGTTTGTCCAATGTGTTCTCTGGTTTGAAACTTTTCACTCCGAAAATTCAAAACTCCGTCAAAATGTACCTCCCTCAAAGGTTCAAAATCCTGTCAAAATCCGCCCCCTCTCAAAACTTTGGTGGCGCAATTAGCGCCTTGAAACACCCTTCTGGGCACCCGAGGTTCTGAAGGGGTAGGTTACTTTGAAACGCTCCCGCTTTGAGAGCTAGTAGGTCAGTGCAGTTGAATACAAAGGATAGACATTATAACGGCATTTGGCTTATAATATAATTTGGCTGGTTTTCTTCAAATTAGTCACGATATTTTGACTTTGCTCAGGGGCTAAATATAGGGAGTGGGGTAGCTCAGGGTTCTGAGCTTCCAATGCTAAAGTTCCCTGGTTCGAATACCTGCTCATGCAGAAATATTATTTATTCTGTTTCATTGGCCGTGGGGCGACCCTGGGTAGGTAGATCCTCCTGCGGCACACCCAGTCTGTATAAAACGGGTACTCCTAATTAAAATAATTGATTAATCGGAAAACCTGGCGGTTGAGCGTGATCTCGATCAAATCACCTCCTTGTACAACCGTAGATCAAGAAACAGTGCTTTCCATAAATAGTACTAAACCCAAGACCCTTCATGGGTTGCAGTGGTACAGGATTTTTTTTTCTGCGGCTATATGCAATATCCCTTTTAGCTAACACTGGTCCGGTTTCAATGACTTTTTACTTTCGTACTACGTAAGGAAAGTATAGTAAAGTAAATTTCCGATTTGCGGTTTTCAATGGATCTTTAGCTTTCAGAGCCCCGTGTTTCTTGTTTTTTTCGTAATATATGGAATTTAATTACTTCTGAAATGAAGAAACAAATAATAAAATGGCTAATGTGTATTAAATAAGTAAAGGTAATACGTGCAATGTTTACCGTGAAATAATGGATAGTATTATGCACTACCTATATATTTTTTAATCAGTATAATGGCTTGTTTAGTTTATATTATATCTGCCGAAAAACCCAAAGCTATCAACTTCAAAACACCTCAAGATGAGAGACGGAGATGAAAACTATATAACCTAACAATCGATGCTATGTTATCTTATCAGTTTGGAGGTCGTAGTTTCTGTCCCAAGAAGGCTTTATAGCTGTGATAATCTTGCGGTTGCTTAACTTGCATTTAAGTTTATCTCCTGTTTTGTAATATAGTCAATGCAGATTGGGGCTAATTAATTCTAAACTAATTCTAAATTCATTGAAGTAATTCAGTTAAAACTTATTTTATAATATATATTTTATAATAGAGCTCACCTCACTAGAGATTAGAACATTCATCCATATACGTATGAACTTAATATAATATGGACTCCGGCAATATTGTATACATATAGATATCCGGTTTTCTTAAATACTGTCGTTGGTATTATTTAATATTTAATTTTATAGGTTACAGCGATATAAAATTTAAAATTTGTACACACTCGTATACCGGTACTTAAACAAATATTAATACCCACAATGAAATATAAGTCAATATAAAGGCCTTCTTTACCAATTGCAATTTCGTCGAGCTAAAAATATTTCATGGTGCTTAATTATTAATTATAATCAAATAAATAATTGGAATATATATATATATATATATATATAAATATATCTTACAGTCGTAAACGGATATGGCTAGTAATAAACAAAATAAATAAAATATATTAGACGGCTACGATAAACATATGGTAATTAATTGTTTTAAATAACGTTTCTTACCTTGTATAATTTTTACTTTCACTTTCCTTTGTCTGAAAATACTTATTTCTGCTAAGAGAGTGGTAAATGAAAGTTGTATGATGCGCGCAACGCACCAGATTTTTTTTCAACATCGTGTAAGCAGGAATAAAAAATTCAAGTCGGTATCTCAGTATTTTAATTTGTTGAGATTAGAAAAAAAAATATGACAGTCACTAAAAACTTTTTTATATAATAGAAAGATTTCTAGCATCAGAAAAATGATGATATAAATATCTCAGAAACATATTGATAAAAAAATAAGATAACAGGCGTTTGATAGGAAAAAATAATTTTAGTAGTAAT